TTATAAGACGTCTTTGAGCTTTCACATTAATATATGGATTTGGGAAGACGTCTTAAGAACGACTTTGAGCTCTCACATTAATACGTCTGAATTATGGCTTTTGCAAGACGTCTTAATAACGTCCTAGGACATTGAGACCAAACCAAGACACAAAAAAGACGTCTTTTAGACGTCGTGTGATATCTAGGATTATTATAATTTCTATTAAAATAACTTCATACAACCCTGTATATTTCTTAATATTGATTTTTATAATTTTTACTGAAATACTCAAAATTTCACCCATCTAAAATAGATGTTTATCCTAACTGTCTATCTAGGTGTATGACCTGAAGGTTATGTGGTTTATAGGCCTTTTCACCATGTGATGAGCGCAAGCACAGCCGCCATGTTGAAATAGAGCCTATTCAAAATTTTCGTACTGTTTTGTTCAACAATAGCTGGAAAAGCAATATTATCTCTACATACAAATAAATCATTAGAAAAAATCGTTGATGGTGATACACATTTTTATAACTCTGTGGAAGCACATAGATATGAGCAATTAAAAAGGTTCTTAAAGTGACGTGGACGTTCGGAACAAGGAAAAAAAGTGTGGTGATTAAAAGGTTAGGTTTCAATACATATTAACTGTAAAAAATGAATGAAAACAAATAATACTTATAACTCGATTCTAATTAATTATGCCAACTATTAATAATTGCAAAAAACACATGAAAGTTAATCACGGGTATAATTAATAAGATTGAAAAATTATTTAAAATTTTAAGGATCAACATGACATTTGTAATAATATTACTGTGTATACACCGAAGTAGTATTTAATATTAAAAAATATTGTGTAATACCAGACAAGGATTTTCTTCTGTTGAACCACTTTCTCCATAAATCCAAATATAATTATCTTTAGTAACATCATCCATCAATTGATCGAAAACCTTTGTCACTTCGACCACATTTTTCACTTATAATGCTCATTTTGAACATGTTTTAATATGGATTTTGCCTAATGAGTTGTGGTTTTTTACGATATTGCAGGCAAGTCTTTTTATAAAATAATAATTTATACCGTTTGTCACTTTTACATACTCATAACAATACCGTTTAGTTTTTCCTTTCCGTAAAGATAACACAATTAATTGATTGCAAAAATTAATTTTTCAATTAAGACACTTATTACTTTACTTTTTTTATTCCATTTTTTAAACGAATACACTTAAAATTAATATTTATCTATTATGATTTTTTTCACGTGGATATTTTAACATGCTTGTTTACAAAAAATAACAGTACGAAAAAGATGGCTGATACTGACGCATGCGCACAAAAAAATATGTGATGAAAAGGTCTATTGGTTACATTGCAGAAAATGTCAAGCCCTCCTTTAAACGAAACCCCAGTGATACCTCAAAAAAAGTTACATAAATCTTTTGACTCGCCATTGAAAATACAGACAGGATTATACAGGGTGTTTCCGAACTTGGCGTCCAAATTTGTAGGGGTGGTAGTTCGCATAATTTGAGAGTGATTGGCAGATTTCATTTTTCTAAAAAAATTATAATAAACAAAATAGAGCCATTATAAAAAAAATCAAAGAGCGGGTCCTACCCTGAGCGCGTAGCGCAATAGTCGCTTGATCGGTTACTCATCGGGATTGAGAACTGAAAAACAGATGCGATTTGCAATTTTGTCGATTCTAAGCGTAGCGCGCGCGAGTCGAGGCGATCCCGTCCCCGTGCAGGACCATACCTGTTTAAAATTTTTAATTAAATTATAATTATTTTTATTTTAAATATTTTGGAAAAATGAAATCTGCGAATTGGTCTCAAATTATGCGAACTACCACCCCTACAAATTTGGACGCCAAGTTCGGAAACACCCTGTATACTAATTTCATCTAGCGTTGTGGCGGCGTCGATTTAGGTACGTCGCAGCGTTGACCGTCACCTTGCGTCGAGGCGACTAGCGTCATGGTTGAGAGGAAGGTATTTAATACGGTACCTACTGCATTGGGACAGATATACGGTAGAAATATTTAGGTAGCGCGGGACGTGACGAAGGGTGTCGACAAGGATGTTATGATGGAAATATTTAGGGGCGGCAAGCGTCGAGAAGTAGAGCGACGGAATGAATACAATTGTAGGAAATACTAAAGTGGTGTTAGAAGTGATAGCGTAAAAAGGCAGGGAAGTAGAATGGCAGGACGTTGAGCGTCGAGACGTTGACATCTTTGGGGATAGGATGTATTGTAGGATAGACGTCGTTTAGGAAGAGCGTTTTAGGAAAGGTATAGACTATATAACTGGATACAGATCATAACTGATTGCTTGAATGTAAAATAATAAAATGAATGCTTACACATCAAATAATAATAAATATAGTTTAAAAAAAAACTAAAAAACACGCTTTTAGAGCATATCAAACTATAAAGTTAAAAATAATTTTTCAAATAAGCTTAAAAGAATAATAAATGGAAAATACTAGTATTATTGTGAAAAAAGCGTCGGGCGCTCGATGTACGAGAAATATGGACAAAGCGCCCCACGCTTTTTTCACAATAATACTAGTATTTTCCATTATTGTTTTAAGCTTATTTGAAAAATTATTTTTAACTTTTTAGTTTGATATGCTCTAAAAGCGTGTTTTTTTAGTTTTTTAAACTATATTTATATTTCACTTTTTAGTTCGATCTATTATAACAGCGTGTTTTTTAGTTTTTTTTAAACTATATTTATTTTTTACTTTTTAGTTCATTATTAAAAAAAAATTGCTGAAAAAAAATTACTTTTTTTTCAGCCGTGGGGATTAGAACCCACGATCGGTGTCTGGCAATCGAAAACTCGCGCGTTAGACCGCTCGGCCACGAACGAACTTGACTTAGTGGGATATACTGACAGTAATAAGCCACTAGAGTCCAAAGGAGAGTTACATACATACAGGTGAAGCTAATATAAGCGTGTTAAAAATGAATGAATCCGAGCTTATTTGTGCCAGAGTTCTTATACTAAGTTTAATGGCTTTTGTGGCGTCTCTGTGTGTCTTAGTTCCTAGAGAAATACGAATGTAGGTGCAAAGGAGGTAGCTAATTTATTACTTGCTTTGAAAAGCTTTGTATATCGAAATATTGTCGAAATGGGTCTTAACATCGAAACTAGAAAGAAGCGAATTAAGTGTTTTAGTGATAATTACTTCGTGAAAAGAAATATGTTTTATGGTGGTTTCTTGGTCTAGGTTCTCAGACACGTGCACGAAATTTGGATCTTTTACGGACGTGGTTGTAGATATTATTTATTAGGTGTCGTAAATAAGATTTAATTATCTGGGAAATTTTCCGTTAAATAAAGGATTTTGAATTTAATATGAACTATTATATTTAATAAATGGAAAATGTAAATTATTAAGGTACCTTGGTGAGGTAGGTTACAAGGGGGTCGTTTTTCTACTTTATGGAATGTTATTTACGCTTAGAGAAGTAAATTCTTCAAATAAAAATTGCTTGTAATGTAATTCTCTATCATTTTTATCCCATAATTTTCCTAAAATGGTACGTATTTGTGAAGTTTGGGATTTAGAACTTCAAAAAGTGTAAATATCGAAATTATAAAAAAATTGTTCCAATAAAAATTCTTGTCTTATACATAATTTGACAAAAAGTACAAAATTCAAGTTTTTAAAAAAATTGTTCAAATAAAAGATGTTTGCGATATCATTGTCTATTAATTTGTTTTATACATGTTTTTTCTAAAATGGACTGTAATGGAAAAATTTGAGGAAAATGTAAAATTTTAATTTTTCAGTATTTTTGTTGGCAATGAATATGTAAAAAATGTATCGAGTAAGATGCGTGTGGAAAATGTGTTTAGTTCATCCTCTGAACATTTACAGGGGTACTACAATAGGTTGTACAAAATAACCGGAAAAAGCCTGTAATAACTAGACAGGAAAGTCATGTGCTTGACACATCAGATTGTTTTAACCTTAAATTAATAACTGCTTTTATCTCCTTCGCAATGCTCCAGCTTCTCTTCCTTTCTGTCCGTCACTCTCCGTCCTGCCTATATCTTTGCTGCTGTTTTTACTCTCCCTCTATCAGTGTTGCCAGAATATATATTTTTATGTACCAGATTTGTCTGAGAAATATACCAGATTCTATAAATTGTAGGTTTTATCGAGAACGAACATTTCTATGGAACGAACACAAACAAGGAAGAACCCAACAATATATTTACCCGTCAAATGAAAACGGGCTAAAAAAGTACTAGATTTTGCTTCAAGTACACTAGAGTACCAATTCTTACCAGATCTAGTACATTGCCCTCTATATATGTCTCTACTCGTCCTTAAAACCTTTTTGTTCAAATAAAATTTCTGTTACTTTGTTTCAACTTTCCAATATAATGTTCAGCTTCTATAATCTAATTTTTATTTAAATTCAGTTTTAATTATTTTTTTTTGTTCATTTACCAAAACTGACGATCCCCTTCAAAAATCCAAAAACCTCGACAAAAACCAATATCGCTGCTAATATATAATTTTTGTAACCAAATTTTCTTCAGCAGTTTTCATATCATTATATACCAATTTGTTGTGATTTAAGAGAAAAATTCAACGCCGCAAACCACATCTTCCTAGCTTAAACGGCCAAAATAATAAACAAAACACCCGATTTTTCTATTAAAATTCCCCTGAATTCGAACTTAAATCATATTCTCAACCCTTACGAACAATTCATCTGGGATTTGTTTGGGCACGAATCTTACGGATATTTCGGAATCCTAGTGTTGCCTTATTGGCTTTTTAACTCTAAGATCCAGGTTGGATCCTTGGCTTTGGCACATTTTTTCTTTTCCCTTTGGTGTAGGTGAAGACGGATTCCTTAATTTCATTGGGGGAAATTGGAGGTTTTTATTTTCACATTACTGTGATGCAAAGCATGCACTACAAGGATTATTCATTAAAAAAAAACAATTATTTGAAAATAAAACTGTTCAGAATGTTTTGTCATATTTATCTATCAACAAAATGTGGAATATAATTTATAAAAAGTTTTTATTAACTCTGTAAAATAAAATACAGAACAATAGTAATCACTTTAACGGTTGGACTTGGCGACACGTTCAAGTTCGTCCTTCTTCTTAATAGCATATGAATTTGATGATCCCTGAAACAATAAAGAAAGAGTATTAGAAAAATGTTTCAATAATTTAACTGGTTTTGTATATAAAAAATGTTTAATAACTGTATTTATCTGTAACATTTTGAAAGACTGAATCATTTGTGTCTCAGTTTGTTATTCTTATATTATTTAGATTTTTCAAGGAATATTGGATAATACTGTTTCAAAATTGTATGATAAAAATATTCAAAATGGAATATTTTTAAGGTAAGGTTTTGTTTTAATATAGTTCTTTATGATACTCCAAAACCATAGATTCAGTTAAGTAGCATAGGAAAGAACAATCAAATTCTAAATATTAAACATGAGAACCATATAAATCAGACTTGGGTATTAATGGTATTATTGTTTCATTCAGATTTGACAATTATTATTGTATAATATTGTTGCAAAATTTTATGATAAAAATATTCAAAACGGAATATTTTTAGGGTAAGGTTTTGCTTTAATATAGTCCTTTATGATACTCCAAAACCATAGATTCAGTTAAGTAGCATAGGAAAGGACAATAAAATTATATGAAACATAAGAACCATATAGATCAGACTTGGGAATTAATGGGTATTATTGTTTCATTCAGATTTGACAATTAATATTGTATATTGTTGCAAAATTTTATGATAAAAATATTCAAAATGGAATATTTTTAAGGTAAGGTTTTGCTTTAATATAGTCCTTATAGTGTTACAAAACCACAGATTCAGTTAAGTAGCATAGGAAAGGACAATTAAATTATAAATATTAAATGTAAGAACCATATAGGTCAGACGTGGGTATTATTGTTTCAAAAATATTTTTACATAAAACATCAATGGTTAAATGTAAGGTAAAATTTTTGATATTATTTAGTCCTCAAGCGAAACTACAATTATTATTTAGTAATAATTGAGGATTAGTAAGGACAAATAATTAATTTTTACCTTAAATTTAAGGTCAGTCTTGGTATTTCTGAGTGTTGCAAAAATATTTTTACTTGAAACATCAATAGTTTCATGTGAGGTAAAACTTTTGTCATTATTTAGTCCTCAAGTAAAACTACAATTATTATTTAGTAATAATTGAGGATTAGTAAGGACAAATGTAGTTTGTACCTTAAAATTTAAGGTCAGTCTTGATATTTATGAGTGTTTCAAAAATATTTTTACATGAAACATCAATAGATTCATGTAAGGTAAAACTTTTGCCATTATTTTGTCCTCAAGCGAAACTACAATTATTATTTAGTAATAACTGAGGATTAGTAAGGACAAATATTTAGTTTTTACCTTAAATTTAAGGTCAGTCTTGGTATTTTTGAATGTTGCAAAAATATTTTTACTTGAAACATCAATAGTTTCATGTAAGGTAAAACTTTGTCATTATTTAGTCCTCAAGCGAAACTACAATTATTATTTAGTAATAACTGAGGATTAGTAAGGACAAATGAATAGTTTTTACCCTAAATTTAAGGTCAGTCTTGATATTTTTGAGTGTTGCAAAAATATTTTTACATGAAACATCAATAGTTTCATGTAAGGTAAAACTTTTGCCATTATTTAGTCCTCAAGCGAAACTACAATTATTATTTAGTAATAATTGAGGATTAGTAAGGACAAATATTTAGTTTTTACCTTAAATTTAAGGTCAGTCTTGGTATTTTTGAGTGTTGCAAAAATATTTTTACTTAAAACATCAATAATTTCATGTAAGGTAAACTTTTGCCATTATTTAGTCCTAAAGCGAAACTACAATTATTATGTAGTAATAATTGAGGATTAGTAAGGACAAATATTTAGTTTTTACCTTAAAATTAAGGTCAGATTTGGTAATTTTGAGTGTTGCAAAAATATTTTTACTTAAAACATCAATAATTTTATGTAAGGTAAATTTTTGCCATTATTTAGTCCTAAAGCGAAACTACAATTATTATTTAGTAATAACTGAGGATTAGTAAGGACAAATATTTAGGTTTTACGTTAAATTTAAGGTCATTGTTGGTATTTAAGGGTTTCATTTGTAATTATGTTGACCTCAAGCGAAACTAGTTATTATTTAATAATAACCAAAGATTAGTAAAAACAATTACTGATATTTATTTTAAATGAGAATCAGTCTTAATACATGGTGGACCAAAAATTCAGAGGTGATTTGCCGAAATATCACATTTAGTGATGTAAAATACCCAGGTATTTATTTTGAAGGAAAATACCCAAAAATATTTACCCAAAATGGGTAAATTTCTTAATATCTATTAAATTTAAGAAATTGGTATGAAAAATATTTATTGAAATTAAAACATTTATTTCACAATATCTGAATTGTCTGAATCAGACTGGTTGGACCTTGCAAATCAACAATTGGCCTCAAAATATTTATCATTTTGTCAAATTGTACCCAAAATATAGAATCGTCAAGTAATAAAGGTTTTAGTTATTTTGATAGTGTTACAGATACTTCATCACTTATCGCTAGTGTTTGTAGAACACTTTTATTTAGGCGAAGGCTCTGTAGGCAGAACAAATGACTTCGCCATCATGTTTTTACAGCCAGTTTCAGAGAAACATTGATTTTCTCTTGTTTGAAGAATATGACTCTCTTTTTGATAGTTTTTAAAGCATATCTGTAACTTTTGCCATAAATGTTTTGATAGACTCTCAGCTCAATATGTCATTCCAAATTAAATGTAGTAGGTGAGGAATACAGCCTAATGGCACAATGTGATCAAATATTTGCAGCAATGAAAACCAGAAATTTCAGGCCCATACTTTTCTAATACATTCTGCATTTAATTTGACAAATATTCGGCATTGTGTTGGTTTTGGTAATTATAAAGTCGACAAATCTTGGTTTCGGTTTGGTGATGACAAAGTTAACAATTGACTCGTTACGAAGGTTACTCCATCCGTCACATTGTGAATGCAAATTTTTCGAATTTTTAAAATCTGTTTTTATTTCGCTCTGCAGTGCCTCATATTTATTATTCAAGTAAGATGTGGCAATACGAAATTGGGCCTTATTTGTTTGAAGAATTCAATCCATAATGGATGTTCTACCATTAATAAAGGAGTTAGTAAAGCTTTGGCAAGATTTTTTCATATTTATGGGAGAGTGTAAACACTTCAACGTGTGTTTTTCTATTTTATTCACATTTGGAAACTCAAACCGTTTATTGCAAAATTTTTCTTCTACCCATAATGAGAGTGAAGATTGACTATAAGTATTAACAAATAATATCACCTGCTTTGTAGATTGACTATGAGTATTGACAAATATTACCTGTTTTGTGCTTTAAAACATCCTTGTCGTGACTGTCATGTGTTATAACATAACCAACACATATTAAATTATTTTAAGTTATGTTTTTGGGTAGGTAAATATCTCTTGGAAACATACCAAGTAAATACCCACAATTTATTTATCTACCCACTGGGTATTTACCCAACTCACATCACTAATCACATTGCACCTTCACAATTACAAACAGACATTATGTGAAAAAAAATGCATATAGGAAAACTATGAAACATCAACAACTTCTCGAACTTCACTAAAGTGTATTTTTAGATGTCTCTGAAGTGGCTAATAAATGGAAAAGGCTCCTTTATATCTAAACGATTTTGTCAACATACAAACCTCTGGGTACAGCAAATTCAATTAGTATGTGTCATCCATACTTTCCAAAAATACAATGACAATGCAGCAACTGTTATTGGAGAGCAGCACCAAAAAATAATACAATTTTTTTTGGGTGACATGATTTAAAATGAAGAAGGAATGTAATTCCAGCAAGACGTAGATACAGCTAACACAACTGAATTAAGTCAATGATTAATTTAGAAGTAGGATGTCATTTCAGCAAAAAGTTACAGCTGGACTATTAGATATAACCTAGTAACTTTTGGCACACCATGTATATGCCAAAAACAAATGTTTATCAATAATAAACAGAAATTGTAAGTTTTTCTAAATACCAAATGAACAAGTATTAACTATGAAATAAGCTATATTATGCTAGTTAACCAGTGGAAAACTTGTCAATTATAACACAAAAAAGATACTCTTTCTTACCTTTGCTGCATTGATGAGTTCATCAGCTAAACATTCAGCGATGGTCTTAATGTTACGGAATGCAGCCTCTCTGGCTCCTGTGCATAGCAACCAAATGGCTTGGTTTACTCTACGAAGTGGTGAGACATCAACAGCTTGTCTCCTAACTGTACCGGCTCTACCAATACGGGTGGAGTCTTCACGAGGTCCAGAATTGATGATGGCAGATACAAGAATCTTTAAAAATAAATAAAATAAATTAAATACAATAAAAATAATTAAATAACAAGAGCAAAAGTTAATTTGTAATTATCAGATTTAAAAAATCAACAATAACATTTCTGAAGAGGTGTCAGAAATAAGTTTTTCATCATGGAAATTAGTAAATGAACAAATGATATGAATAAAAATATTTTTTTATACATTTTATTTTTCACAAAATATTAAAACAATGTTAACGGGTCAGTATAACATAAGGAATGTCAGAATAAAAAAAAAATGAACATCAAACAGTACACATTCCATAAAGTAATTTTCAAACAAAAAAATGTGACAAGGGTGGGAGGAGTCCGAAATTTCATGAAATCACATTTCCTAATCTAATATATCTAAATAATAAAACAAAATTTGAACTATTAAAGAAAAACCTAAAAATATTTTTAATTTCTGGATGTAAAATTGCAAAATATGTGATGTCACACTAGGGAGGGGGGAGTCTCACAAATGTGACCAGCTGTGACAAGCACGGGGGTTAAATAAGCTGAAATTCGTGTGGCGTAATTTATGGATGGCCCTTTATTAGTAAAAACGTTTTTCATATAAAGTTATTTGACATATTCCTCAAACGCCTCAGTGATCTTCTTGAAAACACATGTAAAAAGAATTGTTAATGTGTTCCTGTTCATGGTAATATTATACGAATACAAAAGATCGCAGTTTTTCTTATTTACGCCTAGTGTTAAACCAAAAGATACTAGCTGTGGCCAGTCTCAGAACTGGCACTTGTGATGAGGATGTAGCCTGCAGCACCATCCCCATTCACAATAGCACAATTGCATGGAAATGCAATTTTCTATTTAATCCCTCATGAAATTTCAGTTAAAAAGATTATATTTTCTCTGCTTTCTAATTAGTATTTATCAAAGAGATATATTCAGGATATATTTTCAGTATTATTTTGTATTACTAATAGATCCTTCAAGTAATTGTCTGCTGTAATAAACTTGTATTGTATGTTTCTATCCAATGCTGTCAGATGTTACCATATACCAGATAGTGTCAGTCGATCGACATTTTGACAGACATTAGTAGTAGACATTATGACGAATGTGACATTTTTAATAGACATTCAAGAATAGGGCCCCAGATAATTAAAATTATAAAAATCATAAATTGTACATACTTTTAAAATCATTGCAAATAAATAAGTACTTAAATAAATATAAAATGAAACAAACTATTTTACTATAAATCATTACAAAAAAAAAATCTATAAATACTTAGGTAATCTTGTAGTTGATGGATTTAGAAATGCGCATATTCACACCACTCTGTACTGATGTGTAGAATTTTAATTTTGTAATTATCACTATTGAAATGTATTATTGACATTAAAAATAAGGATCCTATTACTTGAAAATCTTCAGAACATTTTTTATTTTTATGAAATTTTTATTCAATGTAAAAATTGGGAAATAGATATTAGAAGTAAAATAGTTATTTCAATATACGTATTCCCTGGTTCCAAATAATTAAATATAACCTAACAACTATATGTAACGATTCCATCTAACAGAACTAGTCGGAACGGGAATTATGTGGACAGGCGCATTTCCAGACCCTTCAACCATAAGATTATCAAATACTTACTTGTAATGGATTTTCTCCAGTAAGCAAGTGAATGATTTCAAAAGCATGTTTTACTATCCTAACAGCCATCAATTTTTTACCATTGTTGCGACCATGCATCATAAGGGAGTTTGTTAACCTTTCAACAATGGGGCACTGAGCTTTTCTGAACCTCTTTGCTGCGTACCTACCAGCAGAGTGAGGTAAATATTTGGCATTTTTTTCTTTAACAGCAATATAATCCTACAAAAGAAAAAAAAACGTGTTATACTAGTGATTAAGCTTAAATTAAATCATGTGTAATCAAGATTGTATTTTCAGAAGTTATTATCACCAATGAAATTCTGAAGAGGTGTCAGAAAAATGTGGTTTTCATCATATATAGAATTTAATATTCTAGAAATGCATATTTATGTATGAGTACAATCTTACCTGAAGGGACATATCTGATACTTGGACATCATCACAGTTCCACCTTCCAAATAATTTAATTTCAGGGAGTTCGGCCATTTTGGGGGCTGCAACTCCCCCTACTTGACCATCTAGAGCCCAATCTTCATCCATGGTGAATTATATCTAAAATACATTAAATTATTTGAAGTACCTTTTAGGACTCTTTCAAAAATTAATCATATTTTGCTTTAAAAAAAAATCAGATTAATAAATATGTTATCAACAAAGATATTTCTGCCAAGAGGTGTCAGAAAAATAATTCATCATGATAAAATTAGATTTTCAATCAAAATTTGGTAGTATGAAGAAAAACCAGAGTGGGTTGATTACACACGTGTACTTGTACATTATATACAAGTGAAACTATCAGATTTTGCTAAACAAATGTATTTTAATATATCATTAACGTTTACTGGGCATTCTAAAGAACTACCAAATAATTTTTTTATATTATTTTAACCAAAACTCACCTTATTTCCTAAAATAAGTAAGTTGATCACAACTGCCTGAATTCAGCGTGAACCGGAAAAGGCCATTTTGTTTAGTAGAAACAACATACGTCAACAATGTCAAATGTCTCTCAACGGCAGGTTTATTTCTATCTCTGTCTCATGTATGGAAATCATTAAACTATTTCTTTTCTAATATTAGGAATATTTATTTTTATATTACCAACTTGCCGGAAACATATTAACGCGGTAAATTTAAAATATAATTTCTCCAGAATGATTATAACAAACTTCCTACTATTAAATAAATAAATGTATCCCTACTGCAGTATTTTATAATTATTTATGTCACAATAACCGACTGACTTATGTATTTTGTAATGTTAATTTATGTATACAGGGTGTCCCGAAATTAGACGGTCATATTTTAACAGAGTAATCTACATCCTAAAATGGGAGTAAAAGTTTGTATAAACATAGGTCCGAATACGTTTCTGTTCCGAGATACAGAGTGTTAAAAGGTATGTTCTGATAACACGCTTTTGTAAATATCTTATAAACGTTTATAAAGATAATTTCCACCGTTGTGTTAAACGGAGATTAAAATGACATTGTTAATGTAAAAATGTCATTCTAAACTTCGTTTAACACAACGGTGGAATCGGTCCTTAATACCCCTGTAGATATTTTTCTGAAAATTGGTTCGCAGTTTCTTTGCATCCAGAGCCATTTTCCGATACACAATTTAAACTTTTACATTCGCAAAAAATAAGTTTTTTTTTTATAACTGTACCACCCTGTAGTTCAAATTCTAAGAGGCGTAGGACATTTCTCCTCTGAATTTTTTCGCAATATTAAAAAAACGTATATTAGTTATTGTACAGTGGTCTATTAATAAAAAAAAAAGAAAGAATAAGTGGCACTCGGAAGGTGCGTATAAATATGGCGGGCCAGGCCCGGGCCGTACTGTGCCTGCGTCTTCCCAACCATGGGACGAGTTTGTCATTATTTCGTCATATTTTTACGGTGTGGCTTGTCTATAAATACCACTGGCCGCGCCAAGTAGGGTCGAAGGTCGAAGAGTAGACCCGTTGCTTTCCATCGTGCGATAGATCCAAAACAACGTATAGATATAACGAGCCGGGTTCGGACCAACAACGGGCCCAGGTTCGTCAGATTTGCGTGCGGTGTCGTATATCTACCGCGCGATTTAAAGCAACGGGTGGGTCTAGGACGGGCCGAGCCAAATAGGATCGAAGTAGGCCCGTTTGCTTTCCATCGCATGGTAGACATACGACACCGTACAAATCTGACGAACCTGGACCCGTTGTTTGCCCAGGCCTGGCCCGTGTCCGGCCCGTTAATTATATCTATAAACACACCTGTAGAATTTTGAACTATTGTTTTGAAATAATTAACTACACTACTTTGCTCCTGTTATCGTGATCTGGTCAAGGGAGGTCTTTGGTAATGACATGTCGCTTATTTCTACACTAAAAAAAGTAACTTTTAAATATATTGTCCCTTTGTCTTTTTGAATAATATATCACACAATAAATGAAAGATGAAAACTAAGTCTAAATATAGTAAAAATGTATTAAAATGTGCATTACAACCAATCAGATAATTAAAAGAATCAACTACCATTAATCCATTGACAATTCACATATGCCAGTTTGACGTATTTGCCGCTTATTTACGGACATGCGCAGAAAAATATGGAACCCTCATAAACAAAATGAACTGTCGCTACTGTATTATTACTTATACTGGGCTATGGGATGGCTATGGGTTATAAATACGGACCTGGGGTCAGATTACAGAACGTCTGCAACTTTGTAGATCTGCAAATATGTTAGAAATTTTTGCAGATTTGCAAATATGGCGGCAACTTTGCAGATCTGCAAATATGACGGAGTTACAGAGGCAAGTATCAAGTTTTTGTATTTCAAAAAATATCTGCAAATTCACAATATTTATTGTGGTTTATTACTCCAACAATTTTAAACCCAAATCCATCAATATGTTTAAAAACTCGATAATCTGACACCACGAACTGTATTCAATCAAAAGGAACAGAAGACTTCATGGTTATTAAAACAAAGTAAAGTAAAAATTGACAATCTACAAGTTTGCAAAGTTACAGATGATTTGCACACGCAAAAAGTGAAAACACCTTTCTGTAATACCATGTTTTTATTTTGCAACTGCAACTGATATTTGCAGATGCAAGTACAATTTGTAGAGCTTCTCTAATCTCATCCCTACTTCCTCCTTAGTCCTTATAAACATGTCGAGTGTAATTCACTCCTGCTAAATAGCTGGTGGAGAAAATATCCACCAGTGGACACCACATAGCCGACAGGATCGAAGGTATAGTGGATTTTACACCGGGGGGTCAATTCTCGACTTGTAGGAATTTTTTCCTATAGGAATTTTTGACATTTTTCTACACATCGGAAGTTTATGACATTTTTCTACATATAGGAAAGTGTCACAAATTCCTATTAGGCATTCCAAACTGAATGGCTACCAGTGGGTTCTGACGGGTTATGATATGGCAAAATTATGGCAACCCTGTAGGCCTGGTGATTTGACAAGGTCAATGAAATAGATAGTTACATAGATTGATCATCCATATTTTTCAAAATAAACATAAGCTTATGCCTTGAAGTAAAAATGTAGGCAATTATTTTTTTTTAAATATCTAAAGGCTAAAAATTGGTTTTATAACACATTTTTGCTAAACCGATTCAAATTAATAAATATTTGCCAGGCAATATGGCCGCTCGTAAACGACCAGCTTTGAGCAATCTATATAACTATATATGTATCATTGGCCCTGTTAATGACAACATGACAACAGGGTTGCCATATCTAAACTGTCATTACCCACTGGTAGCCATTTGGACAGGTCGTTGGAATGCCTAATAGGAAAAGGTTCCTACAAGTCGAGAATTGACCCCCGGGCCAAACGAAAGGTTTAGTGTCCGTTGGTGTAGTTCATTACTACACCAGTGGGACGAACGAAGGAACCTTCCAGTCGGCGATGTGGTGTCCACTGTCCACTGCCATCCACTGGTAGATATTTTCTCCACCAGCTATATAGCAGGAGTAAATTACACTCGACATGTGTGTATCAGGAATAAGGAGGAAGTAAACTAGTGGTGAGATTACAGAAGCTCTGCAAATCCTACTTGCATCGTGCTTGCATACAAACTTGCAGATTGTCAATTTTTACTTTACTTTTTTTTAATAATTATGGAGTCTTCTGTTCCTTTTGATTGAATACAGTTCGTGGTATCAAATTATCGAGTTTTTAAACATAGTAATGGATTTGGGTTTAGTGTTGTTGGGGGCAATAATTCACAATAAATATTAAGAATTAGATGATATTTTTTGGAATACGAAAATTTGATACTTGTAACTGTAAGGCAGAACTCAGACAGAATAAGTCGTCCACGATCAAGCACGGTCAACCAAGGACAATCACATGACTCCTCGACCGTTTTAAAAGAGTGAATTCACACAGCGTCGATCGATTTGATCCGACCAAAACAAAAATGGTTCTCTATTTTAAAATTTTAATTATTGCTTGTAATGGAAATTAACAGTTGATGCTTCAATTAAATATTTGTTAATTAATATTAAATCAATAGACATTTATATTAAAAAAAAAATATGAGTTTTCTGATATATATTTATATACAGTTATTCAAAATAGATCATAATAATAATATAAATATTAACCTTCGGCCATTTTTTAACATATATCTATTTTATAACGTATTTAAATTCTTTATAACCTAACTTTTGATCGTCCACCATCGAGCGATCAACCAAATTTCAAACAAACTCGAAAAGTGAAATTGCTTGGTCGAGGACGGTTGATGACGGTGGCGCTCGATCGGCTTAGTGTGAGGTTTGCCATAAGCTTACGCATGTTTGAAATTTTGGACGATCGCGAACGGTCGACGTGAACGAGCTGTCTGAGTCCTGCCTTAGTCCGCCATATTTGCAGATCTGCAAAGTTGCAGACGTTCTGTAATCTAACCCCTGCAAACTTGCCGCCATATTTGCAGATCTGCAAAGTTGCAGACGTTCTGTAATCTCACCTCTGTAAAGTTGCCGACCTATTTGCAGATCTGCAAAGTTGCAGACGTTCTGTAATCTCACCCAGCAGGTAAATAAGGGTGGTGTAACGTACACTGGTGGACATTGCACCAACAACGAACGAAAGAATCTTATGTCAAGTCAAAAGTCTAGTGTAGTAAGTGTCAAGTGTCAAAGTCAAATGGAGAAATGTCAAGAAAAATGTATCTTTTCATCTTGTTTATTTAATATTATCTATAAATGATTTAAAGATCTGGTAGAAGTTGAAAACCTTCAAATTTTCCATATGCTTTTACGTATTCCAGTTTAATTGCAAGTGACGTGCTTGCTTTTCTAGGTTTTATTGATTTGATATGACGTTGGAGGATCCTTTTTTTGTTGTTAAAGAGTAAGCAAAATGACCATTTGCATGCTCAAACATAAATGTTTTTTAAGTAAAATATAGGCCACGTATTGTTTTGAAAAAGCAAAATGCATGTGAATTTCCTAGGTAAAATATTGTTTTATTATTTTGCAGGTTATGCTTTGTTTTTGATGCTTCATTAGAAAATTATTGATCATTAAAGTTGAGTTTATTTAATTGTTATTTTATTTTAAAGTGAGGTCTTCAAGGCATTAAACAAAACTAGAGGACTATACCTTAGATGGAGTGAATTGCAAGAGGACAGTGTATGCATAACAAAGGATGAAATTGACTGGACCAATACAGAACTAAAAAATTCCTTACGTAGTATAGAGTGGGACCTAGAAGATTTGGAGGACACAATTGATATCCTTTTTCTAACTATTATAAGTTTATATAAGTTATTAACAATTATTTGTAGTTATATCTTTAATTGTGCTGTTTTCCTTAATAATGCTTACATATTGTTGAAAAAAATCCATCTAAATTTAAAATAGATAATAAGGAACTCACCACCAGAAAACACTTTATTGATTCTACAAAAAACGAAGTAAAGGTAACATTAAATAAAAACTTTAACAAAGTTTACATATTCTAATATATTTTTATGATTTTAGTTAATGAAAGAAAGAATTAATATGAACAGAGGACGAGATAAAGACCGCACTGCAAGACAAGTGAGTTTTTAAGTGTAATATTTAGAATAATTAATTTTAAGGTAGATGCAGTTGATAAGTTCAGGATTTGATAAGATCTTTCATTGCTATGTAGCAAGTGTTAGTATGGCCAGTACAATATATAATTTTTCAATCTCCTACATTAGTTTACACCTTTCTTCATATTGTGCCACATACTATAGTGAAATGTTATCAATAACACAATTTATATCTATGAATCGTTCTGTCTCAGTTGGGTCCCTGAACACAATAGGGTAAAGGTGAAATAATTTGGCAGTAGAAGAACTGATTGGAATGATATCTTGGGACTAAGACCGGCTAATATACTTCAGGGTGACAAGATCGAAAGCCTGTATCTGTCTGAGCAGGAACAGGCTGGAAATACCTATTCAAAGGACACTATACTTAGGAGCATACCAAATGTAAGATGGAAACCTACCTAACTTGGAACCACTCCAAATCTTATATTTCCTTGAGAAGATAGGAAGGGTCGTTATAGGCATTGATACATTTCCTTGCTGGATTAGGGACAGAAGGGGGCATAATAGATATCTTTTAGATTGCGGGGTATTAATATTCTATAAATACCATGAGTTGTTCTGTTAATCTGTTGTAGTTGTTCTTTTTTTAGTTTTTACCCTCTCCTGCTTCAGATATCTTCAACTGATAGAATACAATAATATACTTAAATCTCTTGTCATTGCTGCTAGATAGAATATAGATAGAAACATATCTGTTTAGTACTTATAAATAATTTAAATTGAAAATTCTGTTTGGTGTATTTTAATTTTAGTTGGATATTCAAATGAACTTAATTCTTCCTTAAAAGTTTCAGATTATCGTTTTTCACTTCTGAACAAATAACTGTTTTAATAGAGTTTTATATCATTACAATTATTTAATCAAAATTAACCCTATATATCTACATATAGTGAGAATAAGCACATAAGTAAAATTATCTCATATATTTTAAATTCCGCCTCAATAACTAAATACAAATACATGACTGTGACTGTGTAAAATCACATAATGCATTAATAAAGCATAAAGAGGTTAGAAATTATTTCATATAAATGCGCATTAGTCAAAGTATGGCATTATGCAGTTTTAAGCTTCTTGACTTATGTACTTATTCCCACTATAAGCAGATATGGCAATACATTTTTATTTGAAAAACTACAGCAGAAAACAAAATTAAAAAAATAAGTAAGTTTTAATAAATTAGCATTATCCATTTTATTTGTTTATTTATTTTTTTTATATAATAAACAACACAACTGAACATTTTTAAATTTCATTATTCTCATTTAATTCAATACATAATTTATATACGATATGTAATTTCTTAATAGAAGAAACCTTTGCTAAGCTACTAGTTCTTTATTATAGGGAGTGGAACAAAAGTCTGAAACCTGAATTATAACATAAATAGGTAGTCCTAACTGTACAAAATTTTGGATAAGCCTATTTTGGGATAAGGAGATTATGGATTTGACATTTGCAATGTTGTCAGACTTAACCGTATTTTTGATATTATACTTTGGTTTTTTAAATACATCAACCTGTATTTTGTGTTATTATTGTAACGTCTCCTTCAATACGAGTTTAACCATAAGTAACATTTGAGATTTTATGTGGTCAGGAAGGTCTAAATTATTAAAACAAAAGTCTAGAAACCATCTTAGAGAATAATTTACCTTGCAGAACTTTTCAAAATACATCAAACTACTGTCAGTCTTAGTTAATAATGTAACTGGTGAGCTAATAGAGAGTTATTGCAAGTTCACTTAAGGTCAGTCACTATTAGTGCCGCTCTTATTTTGACATCTGAGCATGCGCAGATCACTTACATTCTAGAACTGACTTTAATAAAGACTGTGCCTGTCCTTAATTGTGGATGTTTAAGGACATCAGTTATTGGCGACTTTATAGTTTTCGGGTGCGCTCGCCAACATTCATATTAGTTCGAAGTTTTTTAATATTAAATATTTAATATCATCGTCATCTAAACCTTTTAAAATAGTAATTTCTAATGCCTCTTCCATATTATATACAAAAAATATAAACTACAATTTAATTTTTTTTAAATGCAGTTAGAAATATGTATAAGGACAAGGAATCTAGTGTCAAAATTTCAGGTTTGCAATAAGTCATATTTTAGCATGGAATTTATTTACCTCTAATTACGTCGTCACTATTAGTGGCTGACATAGAAATTTGCAATATCTCTCTATTAATGATTGTACCTGTCCTTAATTGTGGATGTTTAAGGGCAGCAGGTAGTGGCGACTTAATAGCTTTCGGGTGCGTTCGCCGACATTCGTATCCGTTCGAAGTTTTTTAATATTAAATATTTAATATAATCGTCATCTAAACCTTCTAAAATTATAATTTCTAATGCCTCTTCAATAGTATGTGCTATTATAGACAACAATAAAGATGAACTATAATTTAAAGTTATTAAAATGTGTTTTGGAGTGAGGGTAGCCATATGTGAGTAGTAGGGATTAAGTGTAAAGGTTAAAGAAAAGGTCCTTTATTTCTCACAAAGTCAATTTATTGGCGACCGGTTTCGAAGTTGTCACTTCATCATCAGGCACACCTAAATGGAATGTCAAGGAGTCAGTTGTAATAAAAACAATTATAAAAGCATGAACGGACTTTAACAAATACAAAATAGAAAAAACACAAAAGAAAGTTAAACAATAACCTTGACTCACCTTGACTAATTCCATAAAGGAAGCGCTACAAAAAGTTTAACAGAACGAGTTAAAAAAGTCATGTGTAATAAGTATTTTTTAAAAAAAATTTTTTTTTTAATGTAGGTTAGGTTAAACCACCAGATGTCTTTTTGAATAAAATAATTAATTAAAACACATTTAAGACAATTATTAACTAAACAACACAAAATAGTTTTACAAGCACAAACAGTTTAAAAAATTTTTAAGGAAATAATGTTAATTACTGAAAGTAAAAGGTAAAAAAGTAAAAATTATCAGACTGTCAAGACATCTATCTAGATTTTTAACGAATCAATGCAGTAAACTGTAAATTAGCGGATAAATAGTGTACTAACGGAGGTGTTATTTACTGAAAGTGAGTATAGGTGGCGATGACAAAATTTATTGAAAGTAAAATATATTAAACTGAGAATGAGAAAGCAAAAAAATTTTTTATACTAACAAGAAAATTAGAACACTAAACAAGAAAATATGAAAATTCATATGTAAAAAGGGAAATTTGAAGCAGATAATCAAAAGAAAATTACTGTTACAGGAAACGGAAAATAGGTTGACAGTACGAATGTCAAAAAGAAAAGTCAAAATTTTTGGCGTATGACAACCACGTGGGAGAATTTGAATAAGCTAAAAAAATTTTTAATAAGATGCGAATGCCCATTTTGTTTTCTATTTATGCACAGAAATAAGCCTGTAAAGTGGTTCTACTACAGCTACGACAACTGTGACAAAATTTAAAAATTTTAATGCCACGGTACTGACAATGGGTACGTTCACCAGACGTCAGCAGTTAACTTTAAGCGCTAAACGGCTGGGCATTAACATCCGGCAGCAGATGGAAATTGGCTGAACGCTCCGTTGACCGTTGAGTCTCTGTCTGTCACAGAACTGTCAGATTAGACTGTTGAACATAACCTTATATTGTTTGCAATTATTGGCTGATGCTGATCCTCGTCAGAAAACACCAAACTCTAGGTTGACAAATTTTCTGTATTAGTTTCCATATGCCTCGTTTGAAAATCCACATCTTTTTTACATCTCGAGCGTTTTTTATTCACATCGGACACATCTGTCCCATTACGTATACTAAATCACGTGATCAAAGATTTACTACATCCAGATGCATCCGATGTGGATTCTCAAAAGCGGCAATAATCATTGCGTTCGGTCTGCCACGTTCCTTTAACTCCTTTAACACTTTTAACTCCAAACGACCCTTTTAGCGTTCGGTTTAGTCCGATTAGTGACAGTTTAACACGCTTAAATGTCATTTAAAAGCACCCTAAAATTTGTCCCGCTCCAGCCCCTGACTATCCGAACTCGCCTAATATGTACGTTTTAAAAATCAAGAAAGCACGCGCAACAATGAACTGTCATCTCACTGCGCATATCTAAGTATATGTTGAGTCGGTTCAGCGCAAATTCATCGCGCTGGGTGAAATTTGCAGCAGATGACATTCAGCGTAAAGTCATCGCGCATCGTGCCTGCCGAACGCGATCGCTTACTTAACTACTCAACTGTTGCCGTCTGGTGAACGCACTTATTATTTCCACGGTACTGATATATAAATGATTTTTTTTTACCAATCGAAAGATTGATACAAAATTCAATGCAGTATGCATTAGATTGTAGTTATAAGAGGTACATTTTATATTAAAAAGTGAATTTTGATAGAAATTTATATATTTAATTTCAAAAATGAGAATCGGACATGCCACGGTACTGACATTTCGAGTATATTTATATGCAGCTTAAAAAAAATTACGAAGCTTTATGATCTAATTCATGATGTCGGTTGTAAAATACCTCTAAATTTATAATATTAATAACTTATTGATGAGGAAAACTTATGCTAAACGATAAAAAATCACAGTTATCCGAGAATCACCCAGATATGTTCCCCGCAACACTTTTCAAAGAAGAACTTGTCAAAAAATTCTCAACAAAGAAATGGTGGAAGCTAATATCAATAAAAAAAAAAAAATAAAATACCAGACGAATTTTGTACTTATATGTTATCTTTGTTCTCATGTCCAGCTTCATCTGCATTTATTGAGCGGATTTTTTCTTCATATGGATTAATATGGACTAAGCTTCGTAACAGATTAGGTGCCGATAGAGTTGCAAACTGTGTAAAAATATATAATCATTTAAGAACCAAGTCTAAGGAATGGGAATGTGACAGATTCTGATTTTCCTGATAACTAATATGCTTTGTTTAACAAAAAATTCGTTTATTTTTTTTTATTTCTACCATTACCATATTTAAAATAAGTGTTTTGTTAGTTTAGTTTCAATTTCTCCCGTTTTGTATTCATCTACTACTTACTTCATGTTAATCATGCTAGTTTTTGTGTTTATTCAGAAATAAATATAGGTATATGACGTTCATTCAACTGAAAATTTGCTAGTTTTGAAAAAACCCAAAAACCCAATAATTGAAAAGAACCGAAAAAACCCACTGGGTTTTATAACATGGGCAAATTCTATGCCAACCCTGGTATAAGCCAGAATTAGATTAGGACCGTAAGCTACAAGAATTACCTGGGTTACTTCTGAATATGCTGTTTATAAACACAGCGATATTATAATAAAAATCAATCATCATAACAGGCAATTATTAATTATAACAAATGACAACAAAGTACTTAACCTCATTCTCATTAGGTTTTTAAATTAGACCCTTTACTATTTAATGATAATCCAATAATCAGTTACAATCACTACAACACAAGTCTGTAAACCAATAGAAATGTCTAGAAAGTACAGTTTTAGATAATTGCATTAGACTAGGACTAGGGTAACCATGTGTACAGCATTTCGGTGTATTGTACAGCATTTTTAAAGTCTGTACAGAATTTGATCTAATACAGCAAAACGCCGTATTTGTCAAGCAAAATGCTGTATTTGTCTAATGGGTTGCTTAAGAAAATATGGTCATGACTATTTATTTTCTTAAAGTAAAAAAAAAACTACACCCTGTAAAGTATTCCCCAGGTGCATCCATTATGCCCAAACTTTAATCAGCTCACCGCAGGATGAATTAAAGCTTGAGTTTAAAATTTGGTGTTTTTCTCTTCATCCGTTTTTGAGTTATCTTCAAAATTCGAAATTTGCACTTTTCCTCAAATATTTCTAATTAAGTCCATTTTAGGGAAATCATGTATAGGAACACAATTATAGAGAATGACATCACAAGCAACTTTTATCATGATTCCTATACTTTCTTATCTGCATACAGAAAGGAAAGTAAAAAATGGCCGTGACCGTATTTTCTTAGGCAACCCATTTGCGGTATATTTATAAACATATTTTATTTAACAAAAAAAAAACTTTCATTCATTAAACAGATGGGTGAAGGTTGACTTTACTTACAAATCCTGTACTATAAACAAGTATTAGAAATTAAAAATTTAAAAAAACCGACTTTAAAAACGTGCCAAATTTATATGGGACCTCCCCTGAATTACCCCCTTGCTAACAAAAAAAGAATCATATAAATCGGACAAGGTGGTAAAGCATTATCGCTAAACATACATAAAAAATGAAGAGTTTGAGGATTTTCTCATGGACCCAATTATTAGATTTTGACCAAATATATATGGGACCACCCCTGAAGTACCACCTTTCTAACAAAAAAAGAATCATTGAAGTCGGACACCGTATTAAAGAATTATCACTGAACATACATACATAAAAAAAAAAAATATCGCGACGAATTGAGAACCTCCTCCTTTTCTGAAGTCGGTTAAAAAACGTCATTATTGTCCTAAAAAAGTCCTCTAGTAGTCTCTACATTACTTCTTTCTTCTCTGTTTTTGTGTTTATTTTTGGGATGAGGAGCTACATTAGACCCTTCATGTCTGTCGTCAATTACTAGGCAACGTGGCCAATGTCAAATATGTAACGTAGTGCTTCAAACTGTAAAAACCACGACTTTAATATATATATAAACCTATGTAAATATCTATTAATTTCTGAAATAAAACAAAGAATTAAGAATTTCCCATTCAGACTGCCCATTTACGATATAATTAGGCGTTTACAGACTTTTGTTTCGCTCTGTATAATATACAGAGTTTTTGTAAATGTCATGTCCATATTGTAGCAGGTAATTCCTTAGCCTATTCTATTACCAAAATTCCATGTAAACATGTGCTTTAAATTGCTTTGTTTTTAAGATACAAAAATATCAATTAGGTTGTACTCCGAGACTTCACTGGACTTAATAAAAGTAACATCTTGTATCTTTATTCAAGTAATTTGGCACACATTTTTACGTTGAATTTTAGTTATTAAATAAGGGTAGGAATTACTTCATCATTAATTTATAGATCTATATCAATACTTGAATTAAAGTAATTTATCTTGATTTAGCCTCTTTTGGACAACAGTCCAGTGAGAGTTACTAATTCCCATTCTACTACAAAATACTCCAAACTTGAAAACGATTTGGACAGCCCACACAGGCAATTTCTTAACGATACCATTAGCCAACAACAATACTTAACTAGACAACATGACGAACATTTGGAAGCCATCAGCGATTCTTTAGGATCTTTAAAAACTGTTTCTAGACACATAGGGGTTGAATTGGATGAACAGGCAGGGTGAGTAATAATTTTAGAAAGTTAGAAAATACAATAAAGTTTCTTTACTAGAAACACATGGTCAATAAATTCTAGTCCATATTTATTAGTCAAATAAAAAACTAAATTAGACAATTATTGTTACATATTTTTTTATTCGATGACTGGCGCATATCTTTACAAAAATGTCTACTGATTAAAATACATTGACTTGAACTTTAATTATTTCATATTTTAAAAATACTTAATAGTACTTAGTTATTTGGAATATAGAATAAGAACAAACAAAAAATACATAATTTACCTAAATTGATTTTTCTCTGTAATACCTACCTAACATTTTGGAGTAGTTTTACTTTGTTCTAAAAAATATTTTCGACTTGTATAGTGTAATGTTTTGTCTTCATTGAGATTTGTTTCATTTTAGAATGTTGGATGAATTTGGGACTGAATTAGAAAGTACCGATTCAAAATTGGACTCTACAATGAAAAAGGTTGCCAAAGTTTTACGACTTTCTAATGGTAAGAAAAAATTAATTTTGTAATAGTGATGGTTGCTTGGAAAACTTTTCAAAAGTGAAAAAGTGTTGTGCACATGCGCGAAATTAAACTATTTAATTTTGCTAAGTTTCTTACAAACAAAGGCAAAATATAGATAGAAGAAAAATAACGACAGATGACTACTAATTTTTATGTTTCAGCAAAAACTATTCAAATTTTTATAGATCTTTTATTACAAAACATTGGAATTTAGCTTAGCAGACCCTGTAAGTAAGCACTTGTACTAGTACGACTAAAAATATTACTGTAGTAATGGGTATATTAATTAAGTTAAAATTAACTTCACACAAAATGATCTTCACAACAAAACCGAATACAAGTACTTTGTTTATTTTATTGTCTCTGCGCAAATATGGGGTATTTTTGCTGATTTCTCCCTATTTTTGTGTGTTGTTGGAATGGACTGTATGAATAGATTTTACTGGTTTGGGTATTCAAACTGCAACACCACTTTTAATAGAGTTTATTACAATATTATTCGGTATACAACAAAACGAACAAGTTGTTGATTCGAAAACACAGGCACAAACAATGCTAGAATACGTCTAGTATGAGGCTACTTGCTTTTCTAACTGCTTTACTTAATTACACCCTGAGATAATTACTTTTAATTCACTTTTTCCGAGAGATAAGAAACGCCGGCCGGTTAACGCCCACAAAGTGCGGGAAACTCACATACCTCAAGTACACCCTTCTCGTCTTAAGTCAAGATTGCTTCTGTTTTAAAATCAGTGCCCGAGATTGCACAGTTCCTGAGAGGTAGTAGAAATAAGAGCGAACTTCCAGGGTTGGTTGGAGTTATGTTGGTTGCATAATGCTAGATGCGGTTTAGCAGTTAATTATATAATATGGGGATAAATGAACAAATATATTTAAATTCGATGTCTAGCGGCGTAGGGGAAAGAGGAGTAAAATAATTTGATGTATTCTGGCGGAGAATAATGGTAGTTATTTTCCAACAGTCTCTCTTCATTGAATTACACCACTGTTTCCGTATTTTCTCTTCTTTTGGCACACTAATGAATACTTTATTTGGTGTAGTAGTTATTATCGTATTTGCACAATACCATATTTATACCGGATAATTTTAGCAGACATTTCGAAAAACACAAACAACTCCAAAGGTGTAATATTTACCTCATAACTAACTCTCTAGCAGGCGATCGGTACGGTTCGTAGACTGAAACGGTGACCTCATCCTGGTTGCTAAGGATGGAGTGACGCCATAGAAGGAATAAGTGAGTTGACAGAAAATATTCTACTTGGGTTCGCACATTAATTTTAAAAAAAATCTATTTTATTGTTATTTAGCGGTGTTTATATTTTTATTTTTGAACTATCTTCTAGTGTTAGAGTTTTTATAATATCGGTAATTTGATTTTTTGAAAAATAAGCTATACAAAACAGCAAAGAAATATCATGTTATGATTTTCATAAAATTTCCAATGAATTACTTTTTATCTGAATTATAAAAAAAATATTATTGTGTGATTGGTTTATTTTAAACGTTTTGGATTAGGGTACCTGAAATTAAAGACTAATGATAAAATTTTAGAATTTTGTTCTGAAATTAACATTCACTATTATTAAATTAATTGCATCTTTGTCCACCCTACATTTAAAACGAGATGATAATAATAATATAATAATAATGTTTATTCATAATAAAATATATACAATAAGTAAATTACATACAATCAATCCAATTAGATGAATAAACCTAAAAAGATCCACTGAAGTATTATAAATACTTGTTTGTGGAAAATGGTCCAAAAATAAAAATATAATCACTAAATATTAATAAAATATAAGATTTTTTAAAAAACTGATGTATGAACCACAGCAGAATGTTTTCTGTCACCTCGATTTTTTATTCTGTGACGTCACACCTCCATACTTTTACTCTAACATATTTATTTAATTTTCTTTAAAACTGTGTCAAACAAAACATTTTCTAAAGTTTTCTCGTCTTAATAGTACTTATCTGGTTGTTTTTCCTCAATTTTAGAGGTAGATGCTGTAGATGAATATGAAAGTTTTGATAATTATTTACTTTTTCTCTATTTTTCGAAGTAATCTCCGGCTGTAGTACCTTTTCAGATTCTTTTATTTTGTTTTCTTTAATGTCCTTATCCTTTTCTGTACCTTCTTTTTTCATTATTTCTTCTACATACACTGCGCGCCAGAGAAAACGGGCCACCCAAAAAATTTTATGAAATTATCTATCTGGTAAGTTTCTTATTTTTTAATTACGTAAAATAGGTTAGTTTGTGTACTTCTGAAATCATGCCAACCCTGTAAAGATTATAAAAAATTTTTTTCTGAACCGAGTAAACCGAAAAACTTTTTTATCTGTCTATCAAATTTCATGACAGTGACTGTTTTGAGAACTTCATGAACTTGTATTGTGTTCTAAAGAATATTAAAGGTATTTTTTACTACACTGGTCTTCGTAAAGTGTAATCTTTAATAATGGATGAAAAATATCGAAGAGCTATTCAGATTGTAACATTACTGGAAAATGGAGCAAGTTAACGGGATGTGGTGGAGACAGTTAAATGTTAGTCGTACGACTGTGCAAAGAACACACCAACGGTTTCTTGCGACCAGCTCTTATCACCGGCGACCCGGTACAGGTGCTAAAAAGCAACAGTCTGAGAGTATCGCTTTCTCACCATTGCTGCTTTACGAGACCGAACGCAAACCGCTAGAATGCTCCAAAGCAGTCTTCAGCAAGCTCATGGAACAGCAATCAGCACTTCTACTGTTCGGCGAAGGTTAAGAGAAAGTAGTTTGACAGCTTGCAGTCCAACTACACCACCCTTGCTTACTGCAGCACACAAAAGACGCAGACTTGCTTTTGCTCGCGCACAGTGGACGATTGAAAAATGTACTGTTTACGGATGAGTGTAGAATGTGTATATTTGGAAAAGATGCCGAAATTAGGTTTACAGAAGAGCTCGAGAACGTTATGCTGCCTGTACTAGGTCATCTCGAGTTGTTTTTAGGGTGGCTCAGTAATGTTTTGGGCAGGAATTTCTTTTGAGGCACACGGATCTCGTTGTTATTGACAGAGGCGCATTAACATCACGACGATACATTACAGAGATCCTAGAAGAGCATGTAATGCCATATGCTGGGTTTGTTGGCAATGTTTTTCTGCTAGTGCATGACCACACACGGCAAGGATGGTAACAGTACCTTGACGAGGTTGGTATTCCCAAAATGGATTGGTTTCCTTTAAGCCCGGATCTCAAACCTATAGAGCATGTTTGGGACCAGCTCAAAAGGCGTGTAAGCGTGTAAGACGTCGCATACTTGTTCCAACAACACGCGAAGAGCTTCGGTTGGCCCTTATTAAGGAATGGACCACTTTTCCTCAAGGAAACAATCAGACCTTGCTGATTTCTATGCCAAATCGAATGAGGAGTGTCAACCAGAATCGGGGTGGCAATATGCCGTATTGAAAATTGATCCTCACCATTTCTTGCCTCTTTAATTTAATTATTGCAAAGTAAACTGTAACTGTATTTTTTCAATAAATTTGTGATTTTTCAATTTTTTTGATTTCTTTTCGTTTGTGACTTATGGTAACATCGGATAACATGGTAAAACAATCACTGACTTAATACACAATAGATTTATTGTTATAAAAATAAGATATATTTGAAAAGATGAATTATTTCGTAAAGGACCCCGCACTTTTTATAGGGAAAAATGGTTTCAGTCCCAAGGTCTAATTTTTGGTGGAAAATGTAGATCTCAACATCCTGAACAAAAAAGGTAATGGGCACAAAAAATCTACCGTCAGGATTTTGCGCTACGGGCCATAGAAGGTCGACATATGGGTTTTCAGGTTTCGGGTAATTTTTATCAAAAAAGAGCGTGTTTAGTGGCCGATTATGGAGACATGCATGCCTGGAGGTGTGTTAGAGTGAAAAACGTGATTATTGGCATTTGCTCTGGCATCGCGGACGCGATCTAATACTACTGTAGGTTCTGGTTTCCCGTGTATAGTTTGTTTCGTGTATACAAGGTGTATACATATAATCGTTTATAAACCTTCTACCCCGTATATTCCACATTTTCGATTGTTTATTTACACGGAGATTCCTTGTATTTACCTACAATATCCCCCTCTTACTCCCTCTCTCTCTCTATTTCTCTTGGGACCTCAGGTGATATGCATTATAGACATCCGATAACAGAGAGCGGTTCTCTTGAAAACCGCGAGAGGAAAATATTGCTTACAAACACTGCCCGTATTGGAATAAGCGAAAGCCGAAAATAGTCTGCTTTTGACCTTAATTCAGTCAAGATTTACTTTTCAATGATCTTTTGGCTTAAGATTGCCGAAGAACCTGTCACGAATAGATTGGCAAATGATAGGAGACTCGTTACTAAACTCAGATGGATTGTGGAGGCCCGCGATGGTCTCATGAAGCTCCTATTCAAATTCTTACATCATGTGATTCCGACTTCACACCTCTCGAATATTAAAGATTTTCTCCTGATATTCGGTGCAATAATTAATAAATATCACCCGCGTATCGTTATGCAAGGTGCAACAAGGCAGGAAGCTGAAAGAATGGTCGTTCGGGCACAAGAACCAAATGTTGTTATGGCACTGGTAGAAATGGATAGACTTGGAAATCGAAGAGGGAATTGGCGGCCATTCCTCGAGGCTGAGGGTCTTGTATTTCCTCGGCTGGGTTTTGCGGAGCTCCAGGACTTGACCGTTGGTGTATTTCAAATTCGCTTGGCGTGATCCTATATTCAAGATAATCTTGGTGATGGAAGACGAGCGGAATATCAAGTAGATTTGGATGGTCAAAACGGGTTGCTTCGAATAAGAACTTTTTCACGATACAGGGGCGGCGTAAGACATCAATTGTCGATCGCATTTACTAACAAGCTCGTTGAAGGTGATGAAAATGCTTTTGTTGGATACTACTGTACTTGTCAAGTCGGGGCAAGAACACTGGATACATGCTCTCATATTGCGAATATGGCCTAGTTTCTGGGGTATGCGAGACACCAGGAAAACGTCAAGCATAGTTTGTGCAACATCAGTGGAGTATAGAACTATTGGCGAAGAACCACTATTAAAAAAGTAATGCGCCTCATTCGGAACCTTAGTAGGTGTTTTTTTAATCTCGTTTTTCTTTTGGCTATTTTTTTTAGCTAATTTTTTTAGCTTATCTTTTTTTATATAGTACTTTTTCACTCTAACTCACCTCCAGGCATGCATGTCTCCATAATCGGCCACTGAATACGCTCTTTTTTGATAAAAATGACCCGAAACCTGAAAACCCATATGTCGACCTTCTATGGCCCCTAGCGCAAAATCCTGACGGTAGATTTTTTTGTGCCCTTTACCTTTTTTGTTCAGGACGTTGAGATGTACATTTTCCACCAAAAATTAGACCTTAGGACTGAAACCATTTTTCCCTATAAAAAGTGCCGGGTCCTTTTTTAGGTGGCCCGTTTTCTCTGACGCGCAGTGTATATTTTTTTTTTTTCGTCCTAATTAATACATATATCTTTTATTACGGGTCCTTTTAATGAATTTGTTGGTTTTAAATGAATTTTAAGTGGTAACAGTTCAGAATTGATAATGAATCGGACATGCCCTAAAAGTATGAATTAGTAGTTCTGAATATCAATTCACGATTGTTACCGCGAATGAAGCTATTGACTACTCTTAATCCAAACCCAATTTAAAAAACAGATTTAAAAAAAGGTTATGAAAATATATATAAAAGCAAGCTATTATGATTGGGTGAATCGTTTATAAATATTGCTCCTCGAAAAAAAAAAAATAAATAAAAACTTATATTTTAACATAATTTTCAAAAAAGGTTGTTGCCTACAACACATTTTTCTTAGATTGAAAGAAAAGTTATTTTGTTTGTGTTTCCTTTAAAGTCGATTATTCGATTAAACCATCAGAATATATTAATCAATTAATCGACTTCAAATATAATCTTGGAAAAATTAAAAATAATCGATTACTTAATCGAATATAATCGATTAATCAAAAATAATCGATTAATCGAAAATAATCGATTAATCGAAAATAATCGATTAATCGAAAATAATCGATTAATCGAAAATAATCGATTAATCGAAAATAATCGATTAATCGAAAATAATAGAATAATTAAAAATAACCGATTAATCGAAAATAGTCAATCAATTGAAAATGATTGATTATAGAGTTAGAAGGTAGGGAGACGCTATAAGCATCTTTTTCAAATGGTATCACTGGGCGTGGATGTTGTCAACCCAATGTGGCCGATCCGCCAGGTAATAGTCTAGGATCCGTAAGTAGGGTCGACCTTCACCCGTCTGTTGGATAAAACTTATTTTTTATTAAATAAAATGTTTTTAAATATACCGCAAATGGGTTGCCTAAGAAAATACGGCCACGGCCATTTTTTACTTTCCTTTTTGTGTACAGATAAGTAAAGTATAAAAATCATGATAAAAGTTGTTTATGATGTCATTATCTATTATTTTGTTTCTATACATGATTTTCCTAAAATGAACCTAGTTCGAGATATTTGAGGAAAAGTGCAAATTTCGAATTTTGAAGACAACTCAAAAACGGATAATGAGAAAAACACCAAATTTTAAATTTAAGCTTTAATCCATCCTGCGGTGAGCTGACTAAAGTTTGGGCATAGTTGAAGCATCTGGGGAATACTTTACAGGGTGTCGTTTTTTTTTACTTTAAGAAAAAAAATAGTCTGGACTATATTTTCTTAGGCAACCCATTTGCGGTATATTTGTAAATATATTTTATGTAATAAAAAGAAACTTTCATCCATTAAACAGATGGGTGAAGGTGGACCTTACTTTGGATCTTAGACTATAAGGACTATTTTGAATGCAACTCAAATCTACATTTTTTTTTTTAGAAAGTAAGAGTAAGTAATTTTAATTGTTATAAAACGGATGATTATGGTTATAATAACTAATTTTTAGTAATTCCACCGAGAATTCCACTTATTAATAAAATAAGTTTCAAGGAATAAAAAAACTACACATTTTACTAAAATAAGGTGGATACTTTTAAGTAACAGCTCCTTTTTATTATTTGTTCACATTAAAGACAAACGTCTAACATCCACAGAGGGATATACTGTAGGCTCTTTTAATTTTTTTTGGTCAATAAACGAAAATATTTTCAGAGCTTTCTGGTCTGTACACAAATAAGCCTTTTTTAAGACAATATATCTGTACCTCAGAGGCAAACTATGTTAGGTCAAAATTTGGCCAAAATGTGATAAAGATGTTAAGTCTACATACATCTGAGAATCTGCATGTTGCTAGTTTCAGTTTTGAGCTATCTTGCCCCTTACGAATTTAGCAATTTATGAAATATGTTAAGTCACTGTCCGATTGTATACCAAAAAAATCTTTAAACCGTTATTCTGAGAAATCGCATTTTTTGACTTAACATAATTTGCCTCTGAGGTACAGATATATAAAATGACCATCCGTCTCGATTTAGGAGGGACAGTTCCGATTTTAAACCACTAGTCCCGATTTATCATGTGCCCCGCTTTTGTCTAACGAAAAAAATATAAATATTTAAATTTTTATGGTGATGTGACAACCCACTCTTTTATATATATATTTTTTTGCTCTTTAATGAACCAAACCTTCACTACTGTAAAGGGAATTTTTTTAAATATCTCGTTGTTTTCGATTTGTCTCGCTTTCTACTTTTCAAAATATGGTCACTTTAAATATATGTATAACATTATATTTTGAAAATCCCGATGGCGTGGGATTTAGTAAATTATTTGATCATGCTCAGTATCGTCTGGCACACTATCGTAACTTTCTGATAAGCCAAGAGCTCTATTTATAGTCTCTTGACAATTTGATGAACAGGACATTTTAAAATTCGAATCCTTTCTAGAGGAATACAATGTCTACGAAAACTTTCAGGTACGTTATTTTTGTAAGCTACGGACTTATTTTCAAACTTAAAAGGACTCATTTCTCTCAATATTTTCATGTGAAATGTCATATGTCAGCGTGAAAACAGTATTTTGATTTTATTCTTAAATTGATTTAATGAACATGAGAATGGGCAAATCCCTTTAGTATTTTCATTAAAATCGATGCACATTCTATTTAAGGGAGAGTTCATGATGATTGAAAACAGTTTCAATTACTGTTTGAAGAAAATAAGCGGTTACGATTTGTTTTTCAGTTTCGATTTCGTTTAGGTTCGCAACTGATAAAAAAAGACAATTTACATCGATATCACTCACAATGTAATATAGTGTATCCGCTATAGAACACCTTCAATACGGTTTACTAGCGTCCAAGTGAAACCTACAGAGAGTTAGCATTAGGGCCTTGTGCGTGGTGTAATGTAAACAGACACACGACGAGATATACCCCCACGCAGCCAGCTGGCTACGTTGATATTATTCGTTTCCTGCTCGCACTAATGCTAACTCTCTGTAACTTGGACATACGCAAAACGTATTGGATAACATATAAATAAAAATTTCCTTTGTTTAATCAGTCAATTTTTTTATTTTCAATCGTTTAGCACTACGTATGTTTCGGAAGGTGAAAGAAAAAGATGGGGTTCTGTTATTTTAACATTTTTTAAACTGTTGTAATCGTCCCCTTGTGTTTTTTTTTTTTATTTTAACTTTTGACTGCACTCGAAGATAGAAAAAAAATAATTTCCGAAACATATGTAGTGCTAAACGATTGAAAATAAAAAAAATTGACCGATTAAACTAAGGGAATTTTTATTCATACAAAATTCTACTACGGTTAGGAAATTATCCTTATTCAAAGTATTGAATATCGTTCGATTAGTGTCACTGTATAAATATGTTAAAGTAAAGTGGGCCTAACGCAGAGCCTTAGGGCACTTCTGGTGTACTAACATTACTGTTTAAAATATGACTCACTGCTAAAGATATTTTATTTGTCTTATTTTTTGATTTCAGATAGTAGACAGTGGACCGTCATTATAGTTTTAGTTGTAATTCTTCTAATTGTGATAATTTTATTTTTTATACTGTGATTGTCTTTAGCTTTTACTGTCAGCTTTATATTCTAGGTATTAAATTTACAATTTTTTTATATTATATTTTTCACTGTTTTTATAGCACACTATGTTTAAGGACAGTTTTCGTTAATATTTATTTCACTTGTGTAATGTAATTTTTCATGTTTAGTCACTAGGTTTGTGTACTCTAGAAACTGCCCTTAAATATTCTATCATAAGCGTATACCCAGATAGCACAAATTTGTAGAAATAAAAGAATACATTTAAATGTAGGACCTAAAAATGTAGTACAAATTCAATCTGAATTCTTCCAAATATCCATTTGATTATTCCAATTAGACATTTCTTGCAAAAGGTAATTGAGTTGATAATTTTTAGGGGACCAAAGGTGGAGAAATGTCTTTTTAGAATTGAAATAAATGACATTTGGTTTAAAAATGATCGGCAGTAGTACAGGCTAAATCATATTAGGATTGTTTGGGTTCTTCAAAAACATATTGAGAACCATGATACACAAAATTACTGAGATATGATACTTATAGCTGACGAAATCTCATCAAGATTTCGCAGGGCGTATTGTGGTGTGGAATATGGCTATCTAATGGGCCATGAGCAGAATAATTTTTTTTTGAGCGATGTTTTTGATCAGCTGATACCTTAAAGAACCCCGCACAAATCTTATGGAAATTGGCACCCGGTCAAATTGGCCGAAATTTGGATATGTTATTCGTTTCGGCATCCTGAGCAAAAGTCTCAATGAACACAAAGCTCAATTTTGCTTATTTTGGCTCCTACGGAGCTCCGAAGCTCCACGGATTGAGCATTATTTACTACTCGAAAGTTTATAATTTGCTGCGTTAAAATAGAAGTACCATCTTATGTTTTCGGGGTCGCTGCATTCAAATCCAATGCCAATATAATAATATTGACAGTTGACAGCTGTCAACTAGCTGTCAAACAAGCAATAATCAAAATTGATAAAAATCCACATGTAAATATCTGTTTTTGAGGTTGGTAAGTTCAAAACTAATGTTAACAACTCGATACTGACAGTTGACAGCTGTCAACTAACTGTCAAACAGTATATGACAATCAAAATTGACAAAATTCAGGAGTAAATTGATGTCTTCGAGGTTGCAGAGTTAAAAACTGATGTCAAAAAGACGATATTGACAGTCAACAGTTCTCAAATAACTGTCAAACAACATGTGACAATCAAAATTGATAAAATCCATATGTAAATATGTCTTTGAGGTTGCTGAGTTCAGAACTGATAGTAAAAATTCGATATTCACATTTTACAGATGTCAAATAACTGTCAAGCCACAAGCATTAATCAAAATTGATAAAATCCACATGTAAATATGTTTTTTAGGTTGGTAAGTTCAAAACTGATGTTAACAACTGGATATTGACAGTTGACAGCTGTCAACTAACTGTCAAACAGTATGTAACAATTGAAATTGAGATGTAAGCATATGTCTTTGAGGTTGCCTAATTGTAATCTGATGCCAAAGAGACGATATTGACAGTTGAGTACTATCGTTAATTAAATATTTGACTGTGCATGATAATGTGTCAAGATAGAGGAACAATGAGGTGGCAGCAAGCAAGCTTTACTTGTTTTTTAAAATATCGTTTTTCTTACCTTCAGTTTTGAATTTAACGATCTCAAAAACATACGTTTACATGTGGATTTTATTAATTTTGATTGTCACATGCTGTTTGACAGCTGATCACTGTCAATATCGTCTTTTTGACATCATTTGTAAACTCAGCAACCTTGAGGACATCTATTTACTCCTGAATTTTGTTAATTTTGATTGTCACATACTGTTTGACAGTTAGTTGACAGCTGTCAACTGTCAATATCGAGTTGTTAACATTAGTTCTAAACTCAGCTGCCTCAAAAACAGATATTTACATGTGGATTTTTCAATTTTGATTATTGCTTGTTGTTTGACAGCTAGTTGACAGCTGTCAACTGTCAATATTATTATATTGGCATTGGATTTGAATGCAGCGACCCCGAAAACATAAGAAGGTACTTCTTTTTTAACGCAGCAAATACTAAAATTTCGAGGAGATTGCCTTTTTAAGTAGTAAATAATGGTGGAGCTTTGGAGCTCCGTAGGAGCCAAAATAAGCAAAATTGAGCTTGTGCCCATTGAGACTTTTGCTCAGGATAAGATTTGTGCGAGGTTCGTAAAAACCACGTATTCCCACCACAATATGTCACCGTGACGTAATATCAATTGGCGTAATATCATACCTTATTTTTATAGTATCATGTTTGAGAACTGTCAGAGTAGAGGACTAATTGACCACAGGACTGTTTAAAAGTTGTACGCGATGAATAATTTGCTATGCAACTGTTTCTCTGGATATCAGACGATTTTTATCTTTTAAAGAAACCCAAACAAACCTATTGAGGATTATACAGTGCTTATTTTTTCGTCTTAGGCATACGACTAGTATACAAGTTAATAAAATGACAACAGGGCAACAGCCAGTCCTCGACTAGAATTAGCCGAACCGAATATCAGTCATAAAGCCAGATAGCGGGGATATCGTAGTTGTCACATGTTAATTGTAAAAGCACGACTATGCCTAATACAAAATAATAAATACTGTATGTGTCAAATGCTAGTAAATACCATCTTATTATTAAAATATTCACAGTATTATTTAATTTATATGAATTTGTTCATAGCAGTTTTCGATTCTACTCATTTTATGATTTAACAATTGTTTCTTGAGATAATTGATAATATAGTGGGTGTCTCATTAAGAATGGGACACAGAACTATTGAATATTCTCTTATAAAAAATAAGACGATTTAACGAAACGTGCTTAGATAAAATATTACTGGTTTCCGAAAATGTTAAAGTTGAAAATTTAAAAATTATGAATGGCTATTTTTTTTATTTTTCAGTATAGATTTATAAATTCTGTAAAAATTTTTGGTGTCATAAGATACACCTATCAGCAAAACAATTAGTTAAATAAACTTTGCCAGTGGCGTACGGAATGGATAAGTAACACCTTCATCCTCACTAAATTTGATACCACTGTCCAAAAACTTATTTGGACTATACTTTTACATTTTGTATGTTCTTTTTTTAATAAATCATGCACTTTTGTTAGGAACTCATAAAGTGGTTGATTTTTATTGTTTTCAAGATATTCACACTCGTAGGTGAATTTTCTTCATTTTAATTTAATTTTTGATTTCTTTTTAAATTCCCAACAAGAGTACATGATTTATTTAAAAAAATATTAAAAAGTTTAAAATTGTAGTCAAATAAGTTTTTAAAAAGTGAGGTAAAATTTAGAAGAGATGAAGGTGTTACTTATACATGTCGTATACCACTGGCAAAGTTAATTTAACCAATTGTTTTGATGATAGTTGTAACTTATGGCACTAAAAATGTTTACCAAATTTAGTAAAATTATATTAAGGAATAAAAAAATTATAGGCATTAATAATTTTTGAATTTTTAATTTTAACACCCTGTATTTCGGAAACCAGTAATATTTTATCTAATATTTATTGTGTGTCCCATACTTAATAAGACACCCTTTATAATTAGAAATATTTATACATAAATATGATCAGATAGTTATTGACAAAAAACTCCATTCCATACAAGGAATTTTTTGACATACATATTTTTGCAGGGAGTGGGTTGGCTCAGTGGTTAGAGTCATGATTTTGAAATCGAAAGGTCTCAGGATCGAATCCCACCGGTGACAGGAATTTTTTGTTTAAAAAAAAATAAATATTAATTCTAATGCATAGGTAGAGGATTCCCCACTCGACCATTTACTGTTGGGTTCTAATTTAACAGTGCTGTTCCTGAAGTGGCGCTGGGAGACAGTAACAAAGCCTACACAGAACACACATGAATATGAAGACAAACACAAATTAAGACTGGCATATTAGGTATATACACCTAAGCCATAAAACAAAACAAAAAAGATTGTTTCAATATTACAAAGAAATACCAACGAATAAACTTTTAAGGCTGGCTAATTTATTTATATATTTATTTTTTATTTATATTTTTTTATTTAAGTTTCAAAAAAATGTTAAAAAAAAATTCTTTGTGTCTACTTTTATGTAAATGTTCATTACATGTAGTAACTACAAAAGTATTTACTAGAAATATTTTGTTGATATTCCAAAAATTTTACAATTTTTTCATCTAATATAGTATATATTATAAGGAGATATAAATAATAATGTATAGGTCGTTCTTGGAGAGACATTTTTATTTCAATAGTAAATTTGACCTAGATAATACAATATTATAAATATACACTCATGGACAAATGTTTTATTCATCTCTTACCGCCAGTCTTTTCTCCTTTCGAGTAAAGTTGACAGTAACTACTTAATTTGCCAAGTAAACCTACATATAACTTTAGTCAGAGGTGAAAAGATTGGCCCTTAACCTAATGGCGACCTAAAACTGTAGAAATTCAATTTAACAAAAAACTGTAAAATTACATAATTACGGCTGTAACAACGCAACGGAATTTTAATCTTATTTACTTAGTAATAATCAGTAGTAAGGGTTTTTAGTTTTCTAAGAATACCTTAATTTCTAATTAAGAAGAAATTTAGCATTAAAAAACCATTTTTGTTTTAATCGCGCGCATAATTAGGCAATAGAATAATTACAAATGAATACAACTGGAAGTCAAGTATTTTTTCTGGTTAGTTTCTGTATTTTGGTTCCATATTACTTTCATAAATAACATCAACTCATGGAAAATTAGTTGAATCAGCTTTCGAAAACCCATAATTCATTTTCATTATATTCAAAACGCCAGTAAAATGCAAATATAAACGAACTTTTAGGTAATAGTTTTAGTTTCAAACTAACATTCAATTAACACTTAAGATATCTCCTCATCTAGTTTACCTAATTATTATAAAAAAAAAAATACGAAAGAAAGGATAAAAATCAGAAACTTTAAGATTATTTGTAATTATATTTAATAGGGCACTTAGTGTTTAAATAACATTCCTTTATTGGTATATTCCTATTTTGTGCCGTCCCGTTTTGTGACGCGACCTTTTTCAGGTAAAATCTTTCCCGTTTTGTGACGAGGCGAATTTTTACCTGCAATAAACCTTATAAAAATTCCCATTTTGTGACGAGCATAAAACCACTTATTTGTTCCGTAATATTATATCAGTAAGTACCTTACCTACCTGATATAATCCTTTCACCTTTATTAACAATTTTGTTTCACAGGTCGATTTCATCATTTCGCCTATTGTCAATCTCATAGTAGTCATAAAAATATGAAATACATTTAAATGAAAAAAGTCGTGTGCTTTTTAACAAAATAAGTTTTTGCGATTTTTTTTTTAACTAAAATACATTTTATGCGTTCACTAAATTTATTGGGTTGAGGACGGCAAACAAACTCTTTCTGTTTAACATTAAAATCACTAGAAAATAGTATTTTGTTGGAGTAAATACGGAATAAAGGTAATAATTTTGTACACTATATTATGACACTGTTACAAAATAGTGTTATGTGTGTAACCTATGAATTTTGATAATTTTTTTATTAATTTTAATAGCTTTTTTTTAATG